GCTCAGCAAGGAGTCTGCTTCTCCCTCTCCCTCTTTTCCCTCCTCCTGCTCTCTCTCTCTCTGTCAAATAAATAAATAAAAAAATCATAAAAAAAAAAATAATAATTTCCTTGCCGTGGTACTCAGGGCAACCGTTCATTTAACAAAGACATGGAGAGTCTATTTGAGTTTAGCACCAGGCTGCAGACTTCACAAGGGGTGGGCTGATAGCCCAGGTCTTGGCCATGGAGACTCCAGGGAGACAGGGGTTCTCACCAAACTTATACTTCTCCCGGGAGAAATTGTCAATGACTCTTGAGTTGCCCCTCTTAGCAAGTTCTTCATTATGTGTCACTTAAGTTAAGGAGTGTGGTGTGCGGCTCATCCTTGGACAGGGAGTTGGATGATGGGTTCAAGCCTCTCTTCATGGTGTCACTTTTCTCAGTTGTGAAGTGGGTAGGTCTAAAAGGGGTGGGATGCCTGGCTGGCTCAGTCGGAAGACCCTGTCACTCTTGATGTCAGGGTCATGAGTTCGAGCCCCACGTTGGGTGTAGAGATAACTAAAATAAAAACCTTTAAAAAAATAAAAGGGGTTTGTAATTTGTACAGCATAGTCCAGATGTGAGTTGCAGGCACATCTACAAATTAGTCTGTTCTCTTGATTCAAATTGGAAGACCTTCTGTCTTTGAGGCATACTGTTTTTGAGGCATACTTTGAAGTACCTGTGTTTACACAGAAAACCATCCTACTGCTTTATTTCTAAAGGAATCTACACAGCAAGATTGGTGGGTTTCTCCTTTCTGGAGAGCCTGCCAAAGTCAGATTCCTGGGCCTTACCTCAGACTCATTAAATCAGACTCTCCTAGGGTAGATCCTAGGAATCTGCATTCCAACATGCATCCCAGGTGATTCTGATATGCTAGACTTTCAGGAATTAGGAACCATACATCTGAGTTATGGTCCTCTTTTGCTTGGACTTCCAGAGCCTTCTGGGGAGCCCAGAACAGGACTAGGCATCGGCACCATGGATGCTTACAGAAAATCAGTGAATAGGAGTGCCTGATTTGACAAGAACAATGCTGAGTGTTATATATACATAGCGGTGCCTGCCCTCAAGGAGATCTTGTCTGTTCATATAGCGATAAGAATCCACCCATGAAAAATACTCAAATGGAGCCATAAATTAAAAATTATGGCACATGCTTTGAGAGAAGATGGAGGCATTTGATACAGAATGAGAAATCATCCACAGTCAGAATAGGACTTTCTGGGAGAGTAATAAGTGAATAGAGACCGGAAGCCTGACTGGATAAATAATCCAGAGAAACATACAGAATTGTACTTGTCCAATATGGTAACCACTATTCAGTGATGATTTACATTTAAGATAAAGTTATGCAAAATAGAAAATTTGGTATGTTCACTGGAATTAAACACTTTTTAAAATTTAGCGTCTAAGTTATATTTGCTACACTTCAAATTCTCAATAGCCACATGTAGCTACCATATTAGACAATGCAAAAATAATACATTTTTATCATTTCAGAGAATTCTCTTGGACTGCCCTGATCTGGGCCAGGGGTAGTGAAACAAGTCTGACACACTGCCTATTTTTGAAAATTAAGTTTTATCGGCACACAGCCACACTCATTCTTTGCGAATGCTCTTTGGCTGCTTGCACACTACAATGGCAGAGTTTTAGCAGTTGTGATAGAGACTATAGCCAGCCAACAAAGCCTCAGTATTCTGTGGTCTTTCATTAAAAAGCATGTGAGGGAATAGATTTAACGTGGCTATGTAGGGCAAGGAGAGCAGGTGAGTTCCTTGTATAGTGCGCTCTTGCTACCCAGATGTTCAAAGGCTACAAGAGAGGCATAGTGAGATTATGTTGCTTTGCCCGCATGCACACAGGCAGCTGCTGATGTATTAATTTCTTCTTTTCTCTCCATCTGTGGCTTTTGAGGCAGCAGTCTCTTGTCTAGACAAATTGGAGCAGGTCCAAGGAAGAGCAACCACACTGGTGAAGCAACTTTGTCCTTGGAGGCACAGTTGACAGTGTTGATACAATTCTGTCCTGGGCTAGAGGCTGAACTAAAGTTCTCTTAAAATCCAGTTACCTCTTCCTTTGAGATGATATGTATTCCAAACAAAGCTGTTTAACTTTTGTTGTGGAACCCAACGCACCATGTGAAGATCTAGTCCCCTTGCTTATACAATCAATTCAACATAGTGGAGATTTCATATGATGAGATATGATCGACGGATATCAAAGTTCATGTGAAAAATCAAGTGGATCTTGATTTTTAGGAGTGTTACTTCTAGGTCATGTAGCTTCTCTCCCTGTGCAAATGGAATTTCATCAATGGCATTTATTAGCTGAGGTATACATTTTAACACAAATTTAAAAAACCCTAATTTCAGATTGAGTTAATTCCATGGGAAACTCTTAGAAATTTCAGGAGTCTTATCAGTATATGAAATCCAAATGGGTTATTTAGAAATTTAAGATTTTTTGCTTTTGTTACTTCTGGATTAAGTTCACTTAAAAATACTCGTAGGAAGAAAAGTACTCATAGAGACTATATATGATTGAGATGGTACATTTTCCTCTTATTTTCTTGCAGATAATTGTTTGCTGTAGCAAATGAGTCACTGATTTATCAGCAACTAGCCAGAGGACTAGTGTTGTTCTAGCCCTAGTCCTAGCATTGCACTACCATTGGAAATCAAAAAGACCTTCACCTTATTTACATTACAATCCAGAATGTGCAAACTATGTGTTCTATACCATGAGAGGAACTGTTATCTCTGTATTTTTTTTTTTAATTTTCTTCCTTAGATAAGAAAATTGAGGCTCAGAAAATTGGAGTTTGTCTAGAGTCACAGGTTTAATAGTGACAGAGCAGGGAATCAAGTCTAGATGTTTCCTACTCCACAAACATTCTTTTTCCTTCACTATTTTTGTTCTTTGTCACTGGTTTTCAGATAAGATAATTTAAAGACTTGTTTTATATATAACATCAGAGCTTAAGTCTGAATTTTGTCAAATCTGTTTTCTGTATGATTTTATCAGTAGTACCTGACTCAAATTCATTGCAGCAAGAATTGGATCAAAGGATGGTTATTTTTTTTTTTTAATCTCCTTAGAACTGAACTTGATTTCTAAAGCCTTCCAGAAGCAGATGTTTTTTCCCATACTTGTGAAGTGATTCTTTTCAACGTTTAAAATCTAAATCACAATTTACTATTTATGAGCTGCCCTCATATGCAATACGAATTATTTTGTTGGTTTGGTTTTTTTTTAATTTAATAACCACTAAATAAATATTGCTAATTCTCTTCTATTGTTTCAGATTTGATGGGAACTTTAATACCAATGTATCTAGAACAATTAGTTGCGATCGACTTTCTACCACTGTTAATAGCCGGGCCTTCAATCCAGGACGAGATTTAAATTCAGGTCAGTAATCTCTTGGTTTATAAAGGTGAACTATATTCCACCACATTCAAGTTGAATAAAGGTATTGCTTTAGACATTTTCCCTTAAGATTTGAAGAGAAAATATCATCCGTAAAATTGGATATTTCTTTCTGGAAAGTTGACACTCAGGGAAGGAAAAAAGAAAAGAGCTGAACTGTATTGAGCATTTACTATATAGTATACATATGGCTAGACTCTTCATTATCTCATTTGTTAGGAGTTTTACATTTGTTATTTTAAAGATTATTTTAGAGACCCGGTTATCTTTGCAGTAAAAAGTATTGAATTTATATTCCCTATTTGTAATTTTTAATTTGTCTTGGTATTTTGGAAAAAAGGATAAGGGAGAATTTCTAATAAACAGTGGTAGGATGCTATATATTGAAGTTGAACTTTGTTCTCAGTTTTGTTAAGACTTAGTCATATGCGAGATGCTTGCCACCTCAAACGAAGCCTGAATTATGGCGGCTTCTGCGCCGGCCCCGCACATGGCTGACTTTCCGGCTGAGGGTCGGTGCAGTTACTACGTGGAAAAGAAGAAGCGGTTCTGCAGGATGGTGGTGGCGGCAGGGAAAAGATTCTGTGGGGAACACGCTGGAGCCGCGGAGGAAGAAAATGCTCGGAAAAGAATTCTCTGTCCTTTAGATCCAAAACACACAGTATATGAAGATCAACTAGCAAAGCATTTGAAAAAATGTAACTCAAGAGAGAAGCCAAAACCTGACTTCTTTATTCAAGATATTAACGCAGGCTTAAAAGATGGAACAGAAATACCTGAACAGTTAGTTCCAATTTCTTCTCTCTCTGAAGAGCGGTTGGAAAACTTAATTAAGAAATTGAGGAAAGCAAGTGAAGGTTTGAACTCTACACTTAAAGATCAAATTATGTCCCATCCAGCATTGCATGATGCCCTTAATGACCCTAAAAATGGTGATTCTGCAACCAAACACCTGAAACAGCAGGCTTCTATTTTAGGTAACATTGAAAAATTAAAGTTACTTGGTCCAAGAAGATGCTTTGTCGAGTTTGGAGCAGGAAAGGGAAAATTATCTCATTGGGTTGATATTGCATTAAAAGATGCTGAGAAAGTTCACTTCATCCTAGTAGAAAAGGTGACCACGAGATTCAAGGTAGATGGCAAACACAGAAAGAAAAATTCAGTATTCGAGAGACTTCAAATTGATATTCAACATTTGTGTTTGAATAAGATTCCTTTGCTAAGCAAAGAAAAACTACCTGTGGTAGGAATTGGAAAGCATCTGTGTGGTGTGGCAACAGATCTTGCATTACGATGTTTGGTTGAAACCTATGCTGCCAGTTGTGAGGAAAGGACTGAAGAACCTTTAGCCAAACGCATAAAGAATGATAAA